CTACAATTCTTATAATCAATTTGGAATATTTATTTGTGAGAAATAAACAATGCATCTTAATGTACATGAAAATATCATATCCATAAAAGGCAGAATATCTTTTCTACTTTATATAACAAAGTTTTCGTCTCTGCTATAATCATAAAGGAAAAGAAAAATACCCTTCTATTGTTCATGATAAAAAGTGATACGTTTTGAGATAACGTGAAATGATAGAAGATTAGAATCTTGTACTAATATGAGAAATAAATGGAGCTCACAAATTTATTATTATTCTTCTTCATTATTATTTTTTTTCTTTCAAAAAGAATGGTCTAAAAAAGAGTTGTATAATGTAAAAGTTGTAAAAGGTATCTCAAGTATATATATGTCGATCATTAAATTCTTATGTATTTATTACATTATTCTAGATATTGAACACTTCTAACGTTCAAGCAGTTGAGAGAAAAAAACGATATTAGTTAATTTAGATATTTTTAAAGTGTATTAGTATTACATATTCATCGTTGAAAAAAAAAAACAAAAAAAATTGTGTAGATATAACTAAAATTTTAATGTTAATTCCATTATAAAGGAAGTGTTATAACTAGATATAATTTTTACATATTTGGTAAGACAGTATTGGTATGAGATGATCACAAAGTGAGGCAAATATATTCTGTTTAGAGGGTAGGGAAGTTATCTCTCCTTGTCTAACTAGAAATTGAAAAATTAGCGATAAATAGTATCTCATAGCTAAATATTAAAAATCCCATTAATTATGAATTAAAAAATAATTATACAAATAGTTAATTAACTAATAACTTTTTAACACAAATTAATTAGAAATTACTTATAAATACAGTAACTACTTTCATGTTTTCCACAGTGAGCGAACAAATTAAAAGAAAAAAAATATATAGTTGAGATTCTCTAAATTTCCTATATGGCAACTAGTGTTGATTCCTTTGTAGACAACTATTGATTCCTTTATAGACTAAAAAGATTTGATTTATTGGAAGGGGATATTGCTATGGGTGCTTGGAGGTAACAAAGGCCATTCAGAGGTGGTTGCTCCAAGCTTGAACTAGAGATTTCTTGTTAAAAGTAGATGAGTTTGAAAATTCACCAAATTGATTTAAAGTATACTTTTATAATAATACTATAATGTAGCATGGAAGGCAGTGACAGATTCAACATTTTTCATTTAGGATGTTAAAAACATAAAAGTATGAATTTGTAAATAAGTCAATAAAACACAATTTAAAGAAAACAGTAGTACGTAGTTTGTAAATACAAAAAACTAATTCTGTTACCGGGAGTTGTTTTAACACGTTTGAATTTTTATGGGATTAAATCTACTTTTAGGAAGTAAAGCTAAAAAATATTTATGCCCTGGATGCTAGAGTCAACTTGAAAGGAGATTTATTATTGTGTTATAACTTACTTCATGTTCATGAAAGAGTTTAAAATTAATATATCTTCGTAAATCATAAATATTAGAAAGTTTATTTTATATATACCATATAATTTTTAACCCCTCAAATCCATGGTCCGCACTGTTCTACAGGAGCAAATATAATGATTTATCTACATCAAAGTGTCTGATACTTTGTCTGTATAAAAGTACAAAATAATGCGGTCAAAGAGTTGAATAGAATGAAAGATAATCTTCAACTAAGGTAATTAATTACAAGTATTTTCTTTTTATACATGTAATACACTCGAAGTTGCAATTGTGTGTTTCAAATTTCAAAATTTACAAGTCCTCTCGGAAAAATTAAACAACAGAAAGTACAGTAAGGCGGATCTAATAATTATTTGCAGTTTTGACGTAATTTATAATAAATTAATTATTATATAATACATATAAATCGATATTCTAGTCTAGAATACATACTTGATACATTTAAATAAGTAAAAGAACGTAATAAATTAATGTGCCATTTAGCTTGATTTCATTTCATATTTATGTCCTTCAATTTTGTGTGCACACAAGTAGACATTTACACTCATTTAAAGTTGAATAAGTAGATGCATGTGTCCTGTATGACACAAAACACGTAGCATGCAAATTATCATGTAAGATATCACATATAGAAAGTGTGTATCTATTTAAACGTTTAAAATCAAAACATAAGATTAAATTAAAAAATATATTTATGTATTATGTTAGAGTAAAAATTGGAGGGAGTAAGTATTAAATTTCATAGGGTGTGGATGGCAAAATGGGAAGTATAAAAAAGGATGATGTGTGGGTTTGTGGGCTAGCGTGAGGACAAGAGTCCAAGTAAGAAAGTAGGACTTAGTGACTTGTCGGGGGTTTCATCTTTTTCAACAAAAGGGCAAAAGATGAAAGGAAATGAACATCATCAATTTTCCACCGACTTTTACAAAAGCAAGGGATGACCTTCCTTTATCTTTTATCCATAACGATTTTCATATTAAAATTCGATAAAATTTTAAAATAATATATTTTAAAAAAAAATTATTTTTAAAAAAACACCTTTGATTTTATTGTTAAGGACTTAAATATAAGATTTTTAAATAAAAACGGAGAAATTTCAATCATGACTACAATCTGCAAATGATATTGTTACCCCACTTATGACTGTATTTGTTTTCTAAGAAAAGAAGAAGACTTGTTTGATTTATCATTGCTTGCGTTTAAATGTTGGAAAAGTTAAAAGTAAAACCTGTTTCTTATCTTCCATTGTTTTCATTTTCCAATAAGGGTTCTTAGCCATGTCATAACCCCACTTACCTGACTAACTTTCTCGTCATCCATTATAACAAAGTGGGCCTCAATTTAATCATAATACTTTGAATAAAATGAAAATTACTTTTATTTAAGTTCGGTTAAGCTTTTGTTTTCAACATAACCAAATCTGAAGTTGGTAGTAACAATTTTTTATACAGTATTTTAATTAAGATAAAGTTCAAAATTTTAAAATAAATTTAGTGTTATGAAACTATATAAATTTAAAAGAAGAAGAAAATAGGAAGAAGAGTAAAGACTGAATTATATTCAGGATTCATAAATCTTTCATTAATCTCCATTACAATGAAAGAGAACCCTTTATTTATAGGAAAAACTTTACTTGATCCCGAAATAGGATTTCTAACCATATTCTACAAGCACTCCATATAATTAGACATTCACTATAATACAAATTGTTTATAACATTTACTTTATAATCAAAATATTATGAATAATGCCTTTGTATTTTTCAAATCAAAGGGTCCTATTTGTGAGCCAAACTAAGTGACGAGATCGATTGCCCAATTGACATGGTTTTTAGTGCCAAAAAAACACAATTGAGGGTTTGCCGGCACAAAGTTATGATAACTTGTCTCCTATCCTACTCAAAATACATTGTCTTCTCCACGCGTGTCCATATCATTCCAAGATTGGAATATGTTGGGGGGGCTTTTCTTAATGGATTTTTTTTTATATATAATTACACTCCAGTAAATATTTTTATTTAGTTGTTCAACTGCTCCAATTTCTACGTAAATATCCTTTTGCATTAACCTCTCTTAGATTAGGTAATTTTCATTTATATTGGAGATATTAACCCACGATGTGGGTAAAACAAAGGACAGAAGATATGTAAACGGAAAAGAGTAGGTGATCAAACTTCAATAATTACTTTAGTAGTACTAATGTTTTCAAAGAAAAGATAATACAACCCCTTTTTAAGAACAGTCATCTCAAATCATTTGTAATATTAGAAGTTCAAGAAATCATTTTTTTCCTCATTTTACTCGTGTAATTGTTCCAATATTATATTTTCTTAATAAAAAGAGATTTAAGATGAAAAGAGTATAAAACAAAAAAGAAAGGGAGATGAGGAAAATAAGTTATCTAGAATACTTTACTGTGTTCCTCCTGGGGGGGATTCTGTTTGTTTGTTCTCTTCTTTCTTTTTGGATTATGATGGGCCTTGTGAAGTCCATAACCATAACCATGGAATAAATCACTTTTGATTGATAATTATTGGAGTAGAAGCAATGGAATATTGTTGTTTCAATTCCTCATTCAATTCTTAAAACATGAATATTCGTGCTCATAACAATCATTCTAACACAAATATACAGGTCTAATTTTGGCGATGGACATTGGTTTTTTTATTTTATTGCACTGAAGTAAATTAAATCTTGTAAGTTGTAATGGAAAAGTCACCCAACTTTCGGTACTATTGTTCTATAAACAGATTGAGTAAACAACCGTGATTGCAGAAATAGTGTGTTTCGTAACGTTGAACCAAATTAAACGTGAGTTTAGGCCCAAACATAGAAGTATCAATTACTTGCAGCCCAGAACTCACTCATTTTTGCTGGACAAGGTAGTTCATTTACTGGAAGCCCAGCAACCTTTTGGGATTAGAACTGGGACTATGTCCACCAAATTCAGTGTTTTTCCAATTTTTGAAAAAGAAAAAAGAAAGAGTGAACCCGTACATGTTATGTTAAGAATTTAACTTCATAGGATCGATTTAATTTGAAGTAGGGCTTATAACATCATCATCATCACAGAAGAATGATCAAAGCAAACCAACATGTGTTAGTGGAATTACATAACGTTATTGCGAAAAAGAACTCAAGATGGTTTTGGAGTTAACAGTATCCAATATCAATATATATTTCAGTAAAGATAGGCAGTACTTTTGATGTGGCAATTCAAGTAGGCATTTATACAGAGCATTGGTTCTAATACTACTTGATGAGCTTGGGGATATTGCACCTCTCAGGGAGACTATGGAAAAGGAATTGGAGCATGTTGGCTTGGTGTTGAAGAAACTAGACACTGAGAATGAGATGATGCTTGCTCAGATTTATCTATCGAAGAAATTAGAGGCTGTTAACATTATACCCGTTTGTATTGTCACACTACACACACCCAGTAAGTTACATTCTGGTCTACATAAACCTTCTGCGAAAAATTGACATAAAAAATCGAGAGGGGGAACTTAGGTAAGCTTAATTTTCTTTAAAGTTGGGGGCTCAAGCAAAGCAAGTTCATGATGATTTGAGATCAAACATTGTATAAGAAGACTATTTTCAACAAAAAAAAGAAGACAGAGCACAAGAAGACTATTTTCAAAAGGAATTCACATACAAGTGAAATCATACAATTCAGTCATCAGTATCCATCATAGTGGTCCTTGTTCTATAACATTTGCCAGGCTTATGCAAACTTCCATGTCTAGCTCTATCGGCTGCAATAGACGATTCATCTTCTTCCATGGCAGCATTATCGGATTCCATGGAAACAATGCTAAGGGGAACTATTTTTTTCACTTGCATTTGCTCCGACTTGACGCCCTGTTTGGTGAAGGTCCCAGCAGGCTGCTTCATTTTCAGGTTAAAGGTGGGCGATTTCTCAAAATTAGTGGAGCTATCATTGTCCAGCTGCGATCCCTTCTTTATGATACTTAGAAAGTCCATGTAGGCTTTTCTATTGGATTCTTCATTCATATCATCCGAGACATCAAGTGTATAGCAAGTATACTTGGATGGATTCCTTACATAATCTGGAATGGATGAATTAGGGACCAACCTATAATCTTCCTTGAGCTTGAGTTTTTTAGGAGAATGTGCATCATCCTGGCCTAGAGTCTTGTACGCAGTAGGTGGCTTGGAACCTAAATGACCTTCTCTCAGGGCAGCCTCGGCATCTTCCTTGAGTCTGAGCTTGGCGGCCTCATGATTAGCACGAGGATCTCTCCTAATGTCATGAAGAGTAAGAGGAAGCTCATGGTCTGTGTCCGCAGAAATTCCGTAGTCAGAGACCTCCCGCGTGTACAAGCGGTCACTAGGCTGCTGCTTCTCCTTTTCCGTATCAACGGCCACTTTGTCAAACTCGTCTTCTTCCTCCTGGTAAGCAAATTACAAGAAAAATTAAACATAAAGAGTCGTTAGACTACACAACGATGCACAATTTATCATACAGAGGAAACGGATAAAAGAGGGGAACCAAGTTATAACCTCATAGTCAAGGGTGCAATCTAAACCAATGCCAGACCGGATATCTAATTCATTATCATCATCTGGTTCTTGGCCGTCGCCGAGCTGTTCCAGATCGGACTGGAGCTGTTTGGGAAAATCTAGGGTTTGGGGGGACTTCGAGAAGAAGCCGTCAATATGGGGAGGGCAGGGTTTGGAATCAAAGTCGACTAGCTCGCGGGATGGGGTATCCCTATTCCATTCCCTTTTCTCAATTTCATCGTCGGTTAAACACCAGAGAGAACTCAAATTAGAGGTCTCCGTCAAAGACCCGAACACTTTGTCCACCCGTACTCTGAAGCTCTCATCCATTGTAAACAGTGAGCTTTGCTTTGAAAATCGCTCGCACTTCGCCTCTCCCTTTGTAAAGATATGGACTCTATAGCAGGTAAATCGGGGCTGCCGTGCCCGTCGGTTGTCCTTCGTCTTAGGAAGCCAGAGTATATGTTAACTTCCACTCTTCTTTACCATTTAACAAGTAAAAGAAGTTTTTTTATGATTTTAAGTTAAGTGCAATATATTATTAAAATTAAATAGTTATAAAAATCTTTCTAAAACAATTACTAAAATATCTTAGCCCTAATGCCATGGGTCATCACGTTAAAATGCTGAAAGCAGAACCAACAAAGTGTTAGCGGAAGGAATATAAAGTTAAAGTTAGTGCGACAAATAACTCAAGATGGTTTGCAGCATCTCCGTAAACTAAACCTCCAGCAAAATGTCAACTCCTTCGCCATTTCTCTACTCTATTCTTATACTGATTGTCTCATTTTTATGTAAAGCATCGGCTATTCAACAGAATGGTGCTCGTTATCTCGGCAATTTCTGGAGTTCAAGCAGAAAACTTTCAGTTCGAGCCTCAAAATACCAGTATGAGACCAAATATTTCCAGCAGAAGCTCGATCACTTCAGCTTCGCTGATCTGCCTTCGTTTTCACAGCGTTACCTAATCAATACCCAACACTGGGAGGGTCCCTCTCGCTCGGCCCCTATTTTCCTCTACTGTGGGAATGAAGGTGATATAGAATGGTTCGCTGACAATACAGGTTTCGTCTGGGAAATTGCCCCTCGTTTTGGCGCCATGGTTATATTCCCCGAGGTGAAATACTTGTCATTCTTCTTCTTTTTCCTCATAAAGTTTCCATCTTTGTTAAATGCAATTAAAGTTTCTTGAATAGCTTCCGAACAAGCCTCATTTCTCTGAACATTAGCCTAGAGATAACTTATGTTGAGTGTGGAAAAAAATGTCATACATCAGAAACTGATAGGAAATAGAAGCTAAACGTGCTGTTAAATGGCAAAATTTTTGGGGAAAAGTACAGCCTTTGAAGTTAAGACTTCACAAAAGGAGATGTCATTAAATGATTCAGAAAGCCAATAAGATCATTCGACGCTTAATGGAGAAAGTATAGTACATTTCTCCTTTACATTGTAAACTAGTTGTTATTTAAGAATTTACTTACTTTGTTATTTCATTTACAATTTGGTTTTTGCAGCATCGATACTATGGGGAGTCAATGCCGTATGGAAGTAAGGAAGAAGCATATAAGAATGCTACTACTTTGTCGTATCTAACAGCTGAACAAGCACTGGCTGATTATGCTGTGTTAATCATTGAGCTTAAAAGAAATTTATCTGCACAAGCATGCCCTGTTGTGTTATTTGGTGGATCATATGGTGGGAGTAAGTGATGTAGCATTCAGTAGTTTAGTACATCAGTAATTTTATGTCTGCTAGTATGTTTTCTGGGCACTTGTTTTTAATCAATATTATGAATTGTGCTTCACTCAGAGGTTCTCTATTTTATTGTGTTTGAAACAGTGCTTGCAGCATGGATGAGGCTCAAATATCCCCATATTTCCATTGGTGCACTTGCGTCTTCTGCGCCGGTTCTTCAGTTTGAAGATCTTGTGCCACCTGAAACCTTTTATAGCATTGTATCCAATGGTTTTAGGGTCTGTAAGACTGAGTTTCTATCTCTAGTGACATTTTAATTAACTACTGGCTAGTTGGGAAATTTTCAGAGTAGGATCAAATTTTTTAATTTTTTTTTTGTGGTGGTGGTGGGGTGGGGGGTGGGGAGATGGGAATCTTGTTAGGTTTTGGTCTACTTAGTTCTCTGGACAACTTTTGTGCAATTGAAGACTATGATGCCGTCATATCATATATGTCTAAAATCTGGAGATATATAGGACTTAAATTGATCCTAGTTAGGAAAGTTTACCTATAATTCAGATTTGGAGCACAATAAACTATCGAAATGTTTAATATATAAAAACTTTAGAACGCATTGTAATTTATAAACTATAAAATAGATTTACAAATCACTGCAAAGTTTTACACCATCTACTTCATGACTAGTACTTAATTCACATAAATATTAATCCCAACGGCCAACCCCATACACCGGATCTTGTATGGTCTTGGCCGAAAATCCAATCACATTTGACTGACTGGATCCAGATTTTTGCCTTCCCAAATTAAGACAAGGATCCTTCACTAATCTCATTTTTGTAATCCCGTTCCTAAAGCTCTAGTTTAGCATTTATGACATCCTTGCTGTATCACCTTCTGCAGCGCGAGAGTATGAGTTGCTTTAACACTATCAAAGAGTCTTGGGATGTGATTAACAAGGTGGGACAGATAGATGGTGGACTTGCACAACTTACAAAGACTTTCCACATTTGTAGGTAAGATGCTTATCACACCGCCATTTGTTGTCTTGTTAGCTAACAGTGTCATTGACCTATGAAAATTTAAGTTTCATGTTGGGGTAATTTGATCCGACGTTGTGAGTGGCAGGGAACTGGAGAGTATTGACAACTTGTCTAACTGGTTAGAATCTGCCTATAGTTACTTGGCAATGGTCAACTACCCCTATCCTACCGACTTCTTGATGCCTTTACCTGGAAGCCCCATAAAAGAGGTTAGCACTGGACCTTATGCTCTCCGCAAAGATACCTGTATTTTCAATATTACAATAAATCATGCAGAAGCCATCTTTATGAGGAAAAGCATTTAGTTCGTAAGTGATACTATGTAGTAGATAACATATGTCTTTTCCCTGCATGGTGATCAACAAGTAGTCAATTAGATAGAACGATTTCTTTCTGTGAATAATATCCTTCCAACCCCTCTGCTTTCAGGTATGTAGGAAGATTGATAGTTTGCCTGATGGTGCTAGTGTGTTGCAGCGTATATTTGAAGGAATTAGTATCTATTATAATTACACCGGTAAAGTTGACTGCTTCAATCTGAATGATGATCCTCATGGTATGAGTGGTTGGGATTGGCAGGTATGGTGAGGATAAATATACAGGCTCTTGCTTAGTTGCTCATAATTTGAATTCCTAAGTCATAAAGGGAGGTGCTACTATTGAAATCCAACTAGGTTGCTTATATCTTTCATACTATGTCTGCAGGCATGCACTGAGATGATTATGCCTATGGCAAGTAACATGACAACTAGCATGTTTCCAGAGTTCTATTATGATCCAAAGTCGAATGAAGAGCAGTGCTTGAAAGATTTTCGTGTCAAACCCAGGCCGACATGGATAACAACTGAATTTGGTGGACATGTATGACAATGTGCAAAACTTTGTCAATGCTATGTATATCCCTTGCGAGTTCCATGGAAATTATATAACCCTTCTGTAGAGTTAAAAATAAGATTAAAATGGTTCATTTAGGTTTATTACCCAGTGTATAATAAATTTGCTTGTTTGGAGGATGCATAGAATATGGATCTCAATGGTATTTCCAGTGGTTGGACATTGTCCAGGATCTAGAGTGTAGTAATGGTTCTAAATTGCTTGGTTTCTTGATTTTTATTTTCTTTCAGCTCCCTCGTTTGAGTTATTTGCTGTTTTTTTCTTGTGCTGAAGGCATTCAAGAGTGCGCTAAAAGCCTTTGGGAGTAACATCATATTCTCAAACGGCCTGTTAGATCCCTGGAGTGGTGGCAGGTATTCTTTTCTCTTTAGTTTCTTATTCTTATGTAGACTATGGAACTGAATCTAAAAGTTTTAACTAAAATTACATGTCAAAACATTTTTACAGTGTTCTAGAGGATGTGTCGGAAACTATAGTTGCGCTAACAACTAAGAAAGGTAATTCTCTAACTGTTCTGTGTAAAATTCCTCATTGTCATCACTCTTGGATATAAGTAACAGTGTAACGTATATCTACTTTTGTACTCTTTGCATCTTCTTGATGCCGGTAATGAAACAAGTCACTTCATCCAAAAAAAAAAGTAACAGTGTAACTATCTGTCATCTTTTCTCTAAAACAAATCACCAATTTTACTGGATATGCTGCTGTTGTTGTTTCTGTCTGCTGAGTTGATGTGTCAAATGTCTGTAACCTTATTGGCTCATCCTCTTCGTTATTCAAACAAAGGTGATCGACGTCAATTTTGACCATCTCTCCCTTCTTTTGTTTTAATTTATTAGTAATTCCTTATAATGCCCAGGCTGGGGTAAGCACATCACTACCATCTTAAGCGCCACAGCTAACATGTTTTTCAATAAAAATGACAATCATTTGGAACACTTGCTTTCTCCTTTTAATGGTTCTTCTATTTTATAATTGGATCACAATGTTGTGGCGTCCTGCTTTCCTCTTTTCACCTTTATAGCTAGTAAGCAGAAACCGTTAGGCTCTCAGGTCTTTTTATTGAAATTCAACTTGAAGAATGCACATTCAGCTACTAATACTCTATTAACTTTTCCATAACACAACAACAGCATACCCAGTGTAAAACTAATCCCACAAGTGGGGTCTTGGAAGGGTGGTGTGTACGCAGCCTTACCTTACCTTGTGAAGGTAGATGAGTTATTTCAGATAGATCCTTGGCTCAAGTAAAGCATAATAAAATCACGTATGGAAAGGAAAGTATAATAATGCAGAAGAGAATAACAACACAATACTTTTAACTTCTCCGCTAGTACATATTACATTACCGTGGGAACACATAATCTCAACTATTTTATGTGATGAAAGTTTTGACGATGAGAGTGCAGGTTTATTGAAGTTTATGTGAGCAGGTAACAAAAAGGCCATATAGTATGCCTCCAACTTCTGGAGGAAATTATATCTGTCATTTGTGTTTCTACTCTCTGTTATACCTTATATTTGCTTACTCTGAAAGTTCATGAACTTAACGATTATACCACAGAAAACATTTGCTGGTTGATGAGCCATTGACTGAACATAAGATCAAGGTCAATTTTCTGATAAAAAAGATCATAATCAACTTTCTGTCGCTCATAGTCTGTTCTCTGATATACATTGATGTTTGAGCCTGTAACCATGTCGTATACAGGGTCTTGTTCTAATACTTGATTAGACTACCTTTTAGAGTCTATTGATTTTTCAGGTCATATCACTGCTTATTTGATATTGCTTCCTGCTTAACGCCTCTTAGGATGGAGTATGGACAGAGCTATCTTGCAAATGATGAAATATTTTTTGCATAGATGAAATTTTGTTTTGTAGCTTCGGCACTTCAACTTTAAATAGATTGGTTTGAGGAGCACTTCAAGTGAAATAATGGATTTAGCTCACAAAACTTCAAAATAAGAAGTTCAAATAAATTCATGTCCAAACACAATTACTTTTTCAACTTCAAGTCCAAATACTCATTTTCTTCAACTTCAATCAAATAATGTCTGAATTGGCTAGGATGTAAAGTAACGGGTTTTACAAACAAAACTTGAGGGTAGGATGCATTTCATTTTTCTTTATAGATGTTCAATGAGTAAAATGGCTTCGACACCAGTGTATATGTTTCTATGCATGGTTGGGAAATGTCGGGGTAATCCAGGAGCTGACTTGCCTAGTACTTGTACAACTCTAAACCTTTTTGGTTATGTTTTAGGTGCCCATCATTTAGATCTGCGTGCTGCAACTGCTGAAGATCCTGATTGGCTTCTGGATCAAAGGTCAAGTGAGATTAAACTGATCAGAGGCTGGTTGGATGAACACTATGATGAAAAGAAGGCAGTTTCGGCGTATAGATAATTATTTTCTTCATCAGGAAACTGCCGAATTAACTTGCCCTTCTTAACATCAGAAATATTCTAGTTCTACAAATCCCTTGTTGTTTTTTGACATTGTAAATATTGCATTTAACTTTTATGGGATAAGTCACCAGTTGCAGTGCACATATGGAACTGTAATGACATGATCACTTGTGGTATTTCTTGTACTCAACTATATAAGGTAATTTATGGACGTGTTACAGACGAACCATTTTCTTCCTACTTCTAGCACCAATTACACATCTGCAAGAAAAGTTTACGAATTTGAAGACTTGACTCTGTCTAGTACTCCTTCAAGCATCATTTCCTTTTATGTTTTACTGATGGAAGAAGTACTGAGTAGTGAGTAGTGAGTTAATAAAAGCCAACTACTCCCTAGTTAAGGTTGTTTTGAGTGTCATTTGTTAGTTTATTTAGCTTCCGTAAGGCGGCAATTCTAATTAATTAATGTTTTTCAATTAAACGTTTTGGATCAATTTTTTTGCAAGAAACACATGTTTGGTAGCAAATCATGCATGTTATTTTTAGCCAACGTATAAATATAATTATTCCCCGTCTGCAACAATAGTTATCCATTATTGATTTGATAAAAAAATTATAAATAATAAATAACCAAGTCATATTTATTAAAGTCAGTCATTTAAATATTGAAAAGTGAATAATAATTAATATTTAATAAGAGTAAAACAAATATAAGATGATGAATTATTCATCGATTTTATAAATTGGCAAAACATTATTAGACATAATAAATAGTATAATGAACCAATAAAGATGGGGAAAGGAATAGTACATTATTAAATGACATAATTTTGAATGCTTATAAACTTAATGATGCATTGCGATGGTAGTATATTTATAGGTGAATTTCATTAATTTAAAATTATGGTAAATTAATCCTCGCTAATCTGAATGAGAGACTTTGCCAGCTAAGGTTCCATTGACTAGGTTTTTTTTTATAAAAGTAGTAAAACCTAAATTACTTTCTATCCATATTATTATTATAATTATATAGATCCCATATTATAAAATAGTACTAGTATATTATAAAATGGCATCAGGTCAAACTATAATTTTGGTGTAATTATAAAATTCACTATTTACTCTTAAATGTAGTTGTAATTGAATGTTTATAAACTTAAACGCATACACAATGGTTAAAGTTGAGGATTTGAAGTGTATCTTTTTCTCAATGAAACCACAACTTTTTATTTGATCACAATTTCTCTTTTTACTATTCTTATTGATTATAGGATTGTAAGTTCTTAAGTTTACCATTTAAATGAATTTGAATTTCAGTTAGATTTTGAAAAAGTTAAAAAGTGATCGCAATTTTTTTTCTTTATTAGCTTTTCATTAAAAGTTCAGAAAAAAAAATAAATCGATGCAATATTCACACTTCCGTTAATCACCTCATTCACTCGGTTGACTTTGGGGTATCTAGATTTAATAATCCCTTTGGAATATAAAAGTATGGAAGCTTATATACTTGATAATGACTTTAATTTACAATATTAGACAATATGAAGAAATTTTTATTTACCAAAAATATTTATAGGTAAAAATTCATTAATGTTAAATAGACAATTTACCCTCTCACTAATCTGGAAAAAAGACGTTGCCAGCTAATGTTCTATTTGTCGAACCAAAAAAATTCTAAAGCAATCAAAGTTTTTAAATTTCAAAATTAGTTACTTATTAAGGTAAAAAATACGATTTCCTTTTAACTATTCAGCGATACCATAAAACGCCGTCGTTTTGAACTGGGGTTAGCTTATCACTGAAGCTAAAATAAACCCAGTACAATTTTCAAGAGAGTTCAAATTGATTCCAACTCGTCAAACGGTGGAGTAGCCAGGCCAAGTTCACTTTTTTTTACATGTAGAAAGAGAAAAAATCAGAGCCAATAAAGCAAAGAAGTGAGTGTAAAGAGAGAGAAAGGCAAAGAAGAAAGCACAAAAAGTTTTGTGTGGAGTCCACCATTAGCATAGCATACCTTCATTGTTCTTGGGAAGGGATAATTAACTCAAGAAAACTCAAGAAATTGATCAATTTCTCAAGAAAAAAAGTTGATTTTGTTTTTGTAAACTTGTCAGTTGTGTGGTGAAATCAAGAATGGCGAGTCCTGGGTCAGGGAGATTGGCTTTGACTCCGGTGAATCCGACCCCTATTTCTGGTTTGGGTAGGGTTTCGAAAACCCCTTTGACAGATGAAGTCATATGGAAGCGACTCCGTGAAGCTGGATTTGATGAGGACTCTATTAAACGTAGAGATAAAGCAGCTCTTATTGCCTATATAGCCAAACTCGAAACGGAGGTCTGTTCACTTTGATTGGTTAATTATGTACCTTCCCTTTTTGGGGGGTCGATTTTGCACTCATTCTTTTTGTTCAGTTCTTAGTAGACGCCATAAGGGAAAATACTTAGCTTTTAAGACTGATGTTTCTTTGTTCATGCGGCTTTAACGTTGGTGTGTGTCTCCTGGAAGTATTTCATTACCTTGAATTGTAGAAAATGGAATAGTTTTTCTCGGATAACATTGTTTATGTAAACCATCTTCTTCCATACTGAATGTACCTATAGTTTGATTTGCCCAAGTTCCCTTCTTGTAATGTTCTCTTTGCCCCTTTAAATATTAATTTGACTGAACAGATGGACCAATCCTAAAAAGGCTTCTACTGTCTGTTTTTGTCTTCATTGCACCTGAATGTTTTCTATTTATGTGCTAACTTGGTTTATGATCGCATGTCTATTCTGGATGTAGCTGTATGACCATCAATATCAGATGGGGCTTCTCATCCTAGAAAGGAAAGAGTGGGTTTCCAAGAATGAGCAATCTAAAGCAGCTTCTGAGTCAGCTGAACTCTTGTACAAGCGTGAACAAGCTGCACGCCTTTCTGATACGGCTGAAGCTAAGAAACTTGAAGCTAATCTGAAGAAAGCTCTTGGAATTGAGAAAGAATGTGTTGCAAACGTATGATTACTCTGCTTATTTGTTTTTCCACTTTCTTTCATTATCTTGCTGACATGTTGTGTCAACAGATTGAGAAAGCGTTGCATGAGATGCGAGCAGAATGTGCTGAAGCAAAAGTTGCCTCTGAGAATAAATTGGCTGAAGCACAGAGCATGATGGAGGATGCTCAAAAGAAGTACACTGATGTGGAGGAAAAGTTGCGTAAAGCAGAATCCTTGGAAGCAGAAGCCAGCCTCTTTCATCGTACCGCAGAAAGAAAATTACGTGAAGTTGAGTCACGAGAAGATGATCTTAGGAGACAGACATTATTATTCAAGTCAGAGTATGTACTTGTAGCTTATTTCAAGGATATTTTTCTGTGTAGTGTAGTTTGATGGGTGCTGAACTCATTTTTCCATAGTAGTTAGGTTGTCAAAAGACCATTCAGGTTCACCTGCTTGCATGTGTTGTACCTTGTCCACTAAGATGCTAGTCACTTTGAGCTCATCAGGACTTTGATTCCATGGCAAAGGTGTACAATCCGGAATGTCTGGTTGACCCACGTCTCGGATTTGAATCCTGCTATCAATCAAGTCTGTTTTTAAGTGGTAATGGGTAGAGGAACGGGTCTATTATTCTTAGATTTTGAACATTAGAATGCGGATGTCACTATTGTCAGGAAAGAAAAAAGATTCTATCCTCCTTGAAGTAAGATTTTCAGGATCCACTGCAGTATGAATTTTGGGAAGTCTGGTTAGAAGAAAATCATGGATGTTTCACCAGGATAATAGTTAATCTTTCTCTTATGTACAATGCAGGTGTTCATAAATATGTACTTTTGGCATAGAAAGCCTGTTTTAAATAATTTTAACTGTGGTCTGGATTTCATGAAAGTAGGGGGTAAGGTCTGTGTGCATCCAACCCTCCTCAGACCCCACTTGTGGGGTTATAATGGGTATGTTGTTGTTGACTGGATTTCATTGATGAGCCTCTTAAATTAGAGGAATGAAATTCATATATTTTTGGGTGTATTTTTTTTTTTTTGGATATGGTTACTTTCTTAACCCACTTGGGACTAATTTTATTACTTATAATGGAATTTCTTATCCTAAAAAGAGGGATTATGCATTCATGTTTATTGACACTTAGAGATGAGTAATTATGTCAATTTTCCACACCAAAGGATCAATTTTGTTGTTACTCTCAACTGACTGAAGAATGATCATATCTTTAGGTAGTGTAGGTATGAATGAAGATATCCTGGAGGCACTTGTGATATTAATATCCTCATGCACATGATTAAGTTGCTTTCTTTTGATCTGTCAGGTGTGAAGCTAAAGAGAAAGAGATCCAACTGGAGAGACAATCTTTATCTGAAAGGCAGAAAACTCTACAGCGGTCTCAAGAAGAGTTGCTTGATGGTCAGGCTTTGCTCAATAAGAGAGAAGAATTTATATTTAGCAGATCTCAAGAACTGAATAGACATGAGAAAGACTTAGAAGATGAAAAATCTAACTTCGAGAATGACATCAAATCCCTGAATGAGGAAAAGCGCAATCTGGAGGTGAAACTGAAGTCTCTATCAGCAAGAGAAGAAGTGAGCCTCTTCCTTCTTTTGTTTCATAATGTTGTGCTTATTATGCATATGATTCTTTATGATGAAACATATTGAGGAGTTCATTTAAGCAATTGCTGTATATATCATAGGGCATAATCAGAAGGGAACACGAACTTTACGAGAAAGAGAAAGAGCTACTGCTATTACAGGGAAAAATACAAAGCAAGGAGATTGTAAGTTTTGGCACAAGAGAAAACTATGATTTTATCCTTTACTTTTAGATCCCTTTACCTTCTTACTATGGTGAACCATGCAGGATGGAAGTAAGCAGGTTATGGTTAATCAGGAGGCCACATTGGTAACTAAGATATCTTCTATCGAGGCAGAGTTGGAAACAAAACGGAAATTGGTGGAAGATGAGATTCAAACCAAGAGGCGGGCTTGGGAATTGAAAGATATGGATATTAAGTCTCGGGAGGACCTAATTACTGACAAGGAATATGATTTGGAGAGGCAGTCAAGAACCCTAGCTGAGAAGGAGAAAGAGTTGGAAGACAAGGTATATGTGATTCAGGAAAAAGAAAGAAACCTCCAAACTGCTGAAAAAGAGGTAGAGTTGCAGAGAACAGTTCTGCAGCAAGAAAGGGAAGGGATCAGCAAAATGAGAAATGATCTTGAGAAGTCTCTGAAAATGCTGGATGAAAAAAGAAAAAGTGTCGACCATGAGGAAGAAAAAGTGGAGGCTATGAAAAATGAAACTCAAGAATTACTGATTCTGGAAACAAGGCTAAAGCTAGAGATTGATATGATTAGAGCGGAGAAGGAAGAAATTGAGAAGGAGGCTGATCGGTTGAAAGCTGAGAAAGCTAAATTTGAGACTGAATGGGAGGTAATCGATGAGAAAAGAGAAGAGTTGCAGAAGGAAGCTGAACGTGTGGCTGAAGAGAAATTGGCCATTTCTAAGCTTCTTAAGGATAGCCGTGACAGCCTGAAAGCAGAGAAAAATGCAATTCAAGAAGAATATAAGCAAAATCTGGAGTCACTTTCTCGTGATCGTGAAACCTTCATGTATGAGATTGAGAGTGAACGTGCAGAATGGTTTAACAAAATCCAGAAAGAACGCGAAAACTTTTTGCAGGATGTTGAGATGCAGAAAAAGGAGCTAGAGAACCGCATTGAAGAAAGGCGTGAAGAAATAGAAATTGATCTCAAGGAAAAGGAGAAGGCCTTTGAGGAACATAAGAAAAGAGAACTTCAGGATATTGCATCTCTCAGGGAGACTCTGGAAAAGGAATTGGAACATGTTGGCTTGGAGTTGAACAAACTAGATGCCGAGAGAAAAGAGATCAATTTGGATCGTGAGAGAAGGGATAAGGAGTGGGCAGAGCTAAATAATGCTATTGAAGAACTTAAGGTGCAAAGGCTGAAATTAGAGAAACAAAGGGAATTACTTCATGCTGATAGGAAGGAGATTCTTGCTCAGATTGAGCAGTTGAAGAAATTGGAGGATGTTAAGATTATACCAGATCGTATTGCCACACCCAAAAAGTTACATTCTGGTCTACCATCCAATGAACTTGAACCTTCTGCAAAAAGATTTTTGAAGTATGCCTCCGTTCTGGGATCTGGTCTGGATGGGAATGGTAATAATGGTGTTAGTAAAGGTACTTCTATCATGAAAGAGAACGGTAATTCATCTTCTACTCTCTCTACTCCATTCTCGTGGCTTAAGAGATGTGCTGATACATTGCTTGACCGAACACCAAGTAACAAAAGGCGGAGGGAAGATGGGGATTTTATATCTCAATTGACCGAGAATGGTGCCTCCTGGTATTTCTCTGTTTTTATAACTGACATGTCAAGTAGCACACATTTTTCTGTCATTCCACTTCCCCTTCTATATGTCATTAAATAGAAATTGAATATTGGTTTGTTGACTTCATTTATTTTCTGGTTCTTTCTAGTCCATTACCACCAACACCAGATGCACCAGATGTTGAAAACCTGGAAGTACTACCTAACCAAACTCACATTGCTGCAGAGGAAACCACTGTGTATATTGATAAGATTGTTACAGTTCATGAAGTGACAGAAATCGATGTGAGAAAAGTCACGGAAGGAAGTCCGGTAAGCTCTAATCTCTTTAAAGTTCTGTGTTCAAGCTATGCAAGTGTTGCAACGGCTTAATGATGATTTAATATTTAGCAACTTTTGTAATTTTATTTATGGAATATTTCCCCGTTTGCACTGCATTTATTTTCTGCATGTATCCTTATCGTCAGTGTACATGGAATGCAATGATAGATTTCAACTGGGAACCCTCCTAGATAACAGGTCCCCTCTACATTTATTGAGTATCAATATATAAATGGAGTCCGAAGGGTGGAGTTTTCTTTGGGGCTTTAGAGGGCAACCCTTATTTTGTCGTATGCACAAAGTAGGTGCAGCCTAGTTTGTGTTATCATTCCTTCCTAAAAGTACACTGTTAGCACACCCCTTGGGATGCGGCCCTTTCCCAGAACCTGGTTAGATGCTGGATGCATTGTGTACCAGGCTGCTGCCTTCTTATTTCTCATAGAAAGGAACTTTTCCTAGGATATCCAATACCTTTTTAATATCCAATACTTTTCACATATTTAAGCACACCATGCTCCAACTCGCATGCGCACAGTTAAATTAGGTCCACTTAAATTGGGAGGGAAGTATGATAAAGACACTGCGTTCTTTGGATTGAAGATGCTATCTTGGTTGTATCGGTTTTTGCACCCCCCACCCCCCCACCCCTCACCCCAATATACTCTTTTTTTTCATGTTATGTTCTACACGAATCATAAAAGCATACTTCTGCAGGGGACTCTCTCTGGGGATAGTGGTAGGAAGGTGGGGAACAATGGAAGCTTGGAATCGGATCAAAATGGGAAGCCTGAAGGCCGAGCCCGAAGAACTAGGGCAACAAGGAAGTAGTGAGATTGCCAGAAGTGAGAAGAGTAGCGACTGAGCCTCTAATTTCCTGTTTGTTTCTTCATTTCAAACTTTCAGAATTTTCAAGCTAATGACTGATCGTGACTGGTGGCATGCCATGTTTGGTGACCTTGTGAGTACTTCCCAAACATGTAAATGTCTCAGGCTAACTCATACCCTTCAAGTATATTGTAAATGGTATGAATAGGTACTCTTACTAGTTGTGAATGTTTAGTGTTCATCAAAGAGCTTGTGGTTGTAAGTAAAGAGCATATCAAAGTGGTTTGTGGTTTTGTCTGCTAATTTCTTCAGCTTATTGTGTTAAATCTAATTTAGGGCTGAAAGATTTTGGTGATTATGTAGGGGAGTGAATTTGAGTTCTTTGTGTAAGTTTCTAGACCGAGACGTTCTATTATTCCGTTGACTTATTTCATTCCATGTTTGTAATAGCTTACGAGATTGTTTGGGTATATGCACTTTTTGTCTTTCAAGTAATTTTTTTTTCAACTTTTAATCATCATATTTTTAATTTTTTCCATATGCCTACTAAAATGTAAGATCATTACTCTTAAAACTTAGGCAAATTTATGGTTCTCATTCTAGGATAACATCTCAAGTTCTTCTATGACATTTATGAATTAACCTAAATGTTAATTTAGACTTCATTTGCAATTCAAGGATAGCGTTGGCGATTCATTCCATTCGCCACTTAACTAGCATAGTGATTGCTGACCTTGTCTGGTTTGATGGGAAGATCTACGGAGACTATAGAGGAGTTAAAGAGTCTAACAATGAACAATTTTCCAGTAAGGAACTTGCTCAAGTCAGCTTTTCAAACTTGCTTTTGAGGACTGAAATCTCTGTTTTTCCACCGTTAATGGTAATGTGTAACATTTTATTGCAACCAGATTTAGTGCCTTAGAGTCTGTTTGGAGAAGTCCACCCTGATAATTGAATTTGGTGTAATTACATTGTCTTTTGTCTGTTTGGTTTGGTTGACATGTAATTCATGTAGGTAAATGTTGTAATTCATCACGTGTAATTACATTCTCCAATTCGCTGGGGAGGCTGTAAATTACCGGTGATTACTTTTTAATTTCTTCCTTTTATTTTGTTTTAATTTTTTTTTCGTTTCAATATATTTTTTATTTTTATTATATTTTAAATAATTTTTTAATATATATTATTTATATTTCATTTCCTTCTCATCAGTTGGACGATGTCGAAATATCAAATTGCTGCACTGAAATGTTTTTTTGGCTTCCACATAATCATGGGCGTGCTAGTGTACGTTCAGAATCCAAGTTCAAAGCATATTGTGTTTTGGCACTTCCAGGAAGACAAGACTTTACTAGAGTAAATCACCAAATTTGGGGTGAAAATTGACTATTTCATAGCTGAAGGATACATATCAAACACAGATATACTTGTCATGCATCATGGATGTATGTATGATCAAGGATAAACTCTGGAGCACAAGAACTTCCAAGTCAAACAGTTTTTCATCAATGGAAAGTACTACCGTTTTGGTTGGAGAGCTCATTTGAGCTCAACAATCCAACCCATCTTATCCTCTGAGAGCCCCATTTGTAGGCTAGTAAGTGCAGAGTATAACTGCTGCGACACAAGACCAACACCATCATTTCCATATGTCACCCTGCACCAACTCTCTAATAAGTACTTATATTTCAGCAAATAGATGGGGAACACATATTAGATCCACGCATTCACATAATCAATTACACAGGAATGATGCATTAGTTCATCTTCAACAGCAGGGTAAAATCAAATCATAAAATATGTATACCTTCTCCCTTGATGAGTAATGCTACCAACAGGAGATACTACCACGGCAGTTCCCGTACAGAAAACTTCGTCAGCATCAAGCAATTCGTCCACAGACACCTGTCGTTCCTCAACCTACATATTGACATTCTGGCCTCAGAATAGTAATAATGCAACACAAAAGACCTATTATGTTATACCAACTACAAGGAGAAAAACAGTGGATATCACTTTCTTTTCCCAAATTCAATTTTAATGACAAGGTCAGTGGTAGGAACCTAATATTCCAAGTGTTTTCGGATTAAATCTTCCAAGGTAGATCTACAATGGTCAAAAGGCAAACAGTTCCAAACTCAGTGGAGAATGAGCCCATTCCCTATCCTTCTCCACTTAAATAAGAATAATTCATCAAACGTTTTGATACTAATGCAAGTCATCTTTCTTTTTTTTTTTTTTTTTTACTTGAATGTAGATTTATTGATGTGATGAGAAAAACACAGCATACCAGGTGTCTACAAGAGATGGTGATTCTACTGGCAAACATTGGTCCTCCATGAAGGATATTCAACCATCAACCCTCCATGGTGAATGTCTCTTACTTCATTCAAATATCCAATCCTCAATATTTCTAATGCTTGTATGCCATTCAACCTAACTTGCTTGGGATTGAGGCGTAATTGTAATATTTCTAATCCTTATCCATTTAAATCTTCCCTGACATACATTTCACTGATCTCGGTTGTATTTGGTTTTGATTTAGGAAGCACAATAATGCTTCAGGAGAAATAACAGAGAAGAGAGGAATAGTGATGAGAAGGATGACAAACAGAGATTGAAAAGCAAGGTGACTAAGATGGATCAGGAGATAGTAGAGCTGGTGGATTTAGAATGTGCGCGTTGGGGGGTGGGAGGCGGTATGGTGACCAGATGGTAGTGGGGAAGTGCATAGCTGGAGCCTGGAAAGAGGAAGGGAAACTGGAAAAAGCTCATCAATGCTAAATCAGTGAAGGATAACAGTACTCCCACACTTAATTCATAGGGAAATTAATCAGAGAAATTTACCTTTAGAAACCAATACAATAACATGATAACTTTTACAACGATGGCCATTTCCTAATGACTATCAAAATTCAACATGTTAATTTCTTTAATAAATAAATAAATAAAAAACAGAACTTAAACCAGCATTAGCATAAGCACCAAACATATTATGTTGAAGACAAACATGGTACCTCGAATCCTTGACTAATAGCTACGTCGATTATGCTTTTTCGCGTAATTCCAGGTAGAATGGTTCCTTTAATTGCAGGAGTTACTATCAGATTACCCTGTGAACATGATATTGAGTTAGTTATCTTCATTAACATGGAACTTTTGCATCATTTTTAAGTAAAGAAAATTTGTCTACACTTTCAAAAAAAATTTTGACTAACATTTTTATTTGTATTCAAATTAAAAAGAAGGAATTTGCTTGGTATAATCCACGGTTTTATTTTATAGACATTATAAAGTAGTACAAATTCTGGGAAGAACCAAAATTCCAAGAAGATTGTTCAATTAACTCAATAGTATCCATGTATGACCACAAATGAATAAAATAATAGCAAGTCATGTGAAAATCTTTGAGATATTTGAAAAATATTTTGCACACAGAAGAAAATTAAGATCATTATTTTGGGGTGATCGGTCAAGCAAATTTTTCTCTAAAACTACCAATCTTTTTAATATTGATTACAAAATAATAGCTCACATATCAGAAGACACTATTTTCTTCAATACCAAATTTATGTTTATAAATGAATGTATGCTAAAGAGCTAAAAAGATGGTGAAAAGTGAAATGTTAATGATTTACAAAAATCTATCTAAAGCAGAAAAACTACATGTTCATAAGCAGTACATAAAGGGGTTGTTTGGTATGAGGGATAAGTTATCCCAGGATAGCTAACTCCAGGATAAATATCCTAGCATAACTTGTTCCCAACCAAACGACCCCAAAGATTATAAGATAAAAAGACGTAAAAGTATTCTTTGCAAGATAAGTTTTGAAAGGAAATTCCTATCTCATCTTCAAAAATAAAATGCTTTTGTCATCCTTCTATAAAACCAGCATCACATTCTCGTTCAGGCACCACAGGCAAAAATAACTTACAATGAGGAAACAGAATATTGGTTAAACTATATACCTTCACAATAAAGACATTGCAAGAGGAAACCTCTTCGAGATATTTTTTCTGAACACAATCAAGGTACAGAACATCAGAATAGCCTTTTGCTTTAGCAGCACTCTGTGCCTTCAGAACCTACATTTATAACCAAAAGATGAAACGTGGAATCGTCAAGGATGGCAGTTTGGATAGAATAACAAATAATTAGTGAAGGGTGCAAGTAGCACTTCTTCTCATGAAACCATCCTTCAAAACTTTTTACATGTCCAGGAAAATATTAGAATAATATTCTTCACCTTGGATATATGAGAATAAATAACACGGAGTAAAAGCTTAAGAAGCATGAAGGAATGAGATCACCTCCAGTTAGGTCAACTACGTAAGAATTCAAACAATTCTAGAAAATGACTTCATAAACTTGTTCAATATAGAAGTGTAAGGGAAAGCTAATTGCAAAATATTTGATCATAAGTTTTGGTCAAATACAAAGAGATGATGATGACATACAGAAGGGATAGCAAAGCTCCAAGTGTGAACTCATGGATGTTTATTCTTATAGACCTCTAAGAAGAAAATGCAACTAAGGCTTCAATTAAGGCGTTCATCGAATAAAACTTGTACTGCAAACAAATGTTTAAATAAACTAAAGGTCCAAAAAGCTAGCTTACTGCAGCATAATTTCCAATAGTCTTAACGCCTCCAGTACCACCAGGTGTTGCACGGTGCATTTCAGTCTCAACTACCAAATTTATTGGTGCCAAACCTTCCTGCGGAAAAAGAAAAAAGGGAAAAGGAAAAGAGTGAACTGAGAGGAGGACCTGCCGTACAATATGATTATCGAAAGGTCTGAAACATGAACATTAAAATTATACCATGCACACTTGAGTTTTGATGTTCAAGAACAAATCGACAATCATTCAGTCCTCTCTAAATTCTGGACCATGGACACCAAACTATTTTATGTTTTCGGTTATGATATTGTTTTGCCGTCAACTTTTTCACACTTGCAATTTCTCAAAAAGATTGTAGTGCTTTTGATAAGTTTCTAATCTCTTCAACTAACAGCTATTGAGACACTTTCCTATTGGCAGTCCCTATTATATGCTATATTCATCATGTCAAACTTGCATACCACACCCAAGTTTCTTTTCTTTGTTTTAATAAGTAGTACACCACGCTCAGATTCAAGATCTCAAAGCTAGTTGAAGTCATTCAAATGACTAATCTAATACATCGTCACAAAAAATTATTATTCTGATACACAATACATTCTTATATTATAATTCTAGCTCTTCTCGTGAACAGGGTTATCAAAAGCGAGGAAAAGTGTACTTTAAGCACAAAGCGAGGCGAAGCGCATCCACTGCGCTTTTCTTCCCTAAAGCGATAGCTTCAACAGTTGAAGTGAGAAGCGCAAGTAAGTTTAGGCGCTAGGGTTTATAAAAAAAAAATTGCAAGTTTCTTTTTTAACAAAAAATTTCTGAAATATATTTTTGCTACTTCAAAACATTTCCTTTGGCGACTTCAAAATATTTCCTTTGGAC